TTCAATTGAGTAAAATTAATTAAACAATTTGACTAATTAAATAAATTTAATAAAACGATGTGATCACGTTATTTGTTTCCAATTATATAAATTACGATTCGACTTAGCTATTTATTTCATATTAATTGAATTTCGATTAGATTATAACATTCATTAAGAAAACATATGTAACATAATGATTTAAACAATATTTATTTCTAGTTAAATTAATTTATCAAAATAATTTCAGTTTGTTTATTTCTAAATAAATAAATTTAATAAAACCGTTTGACTAGGTTATTTATTTTTAATTAAATAAATGTTTATAAAATACACAATTTTTAACAGCTATAAATTAAAATATTCTCTTCTATTAAAATATTCAAATGACCGCGCATAACAAATTTTATTTCAAACCCTATACTATGGTGGTTTTTAGTTTCTCTCAATCTAAAATATTTTCTAACTCAATATGACAACTGTTTATCGAGTTCTGTAAGGTGATGAACAAGTACTCTCACTTTTCGTTTCTATGATTGGTTCATATTACTAATTAAATGATTTGAAAAATTATGATTAAGTCTGATTACTTATTTAATATTTGTGATTAAAAAAAGGCATTCCCGTAACAGCCCATTGTGGGCCAAAGAATCCTAGAGGCTCCACAATTTCGTGACCGAGAACATAATAATGGCAATGTGGTCAGCATTGCGCACAGACTGCTTTTGCTTCCCAGTCAAGCTGGTACACAGCGATATGGAGTTGGGAGAGCTGTAGGTCACCATTGAGGACCGAATCCTAGTTTTTCAGTTCGAGAATTTAGTGCCTTACCCACTGAACCAATTCAGCTAATGTGATTAGTGCTAAATAGTATACGTATAAACAATTTAAAATGATATTCAGGGTGTTTCGTAATTATCACTCTTAATTTATGTCTTTAGAATTCTCTTCAAAATGAAGACAAATTTTGAATCACAAATGAATATTTAAGTAAGAAAAAAATTCGCTACCGAAAACTGACAAAATCACTATTAAAGAAGGAGGATGTATAGTTTCATCACAGGTTGAAAGCTGAAGATGTTTGATATAACCATTTTTCAATGTCTCCCTATTTCCCACCACAATAAATCGGATTTCAGTGATTCGTACCATTCCTTAACTGTTATTTCTCTGATTTTCATAGCTTTTTAGTTTTACCATAGCTTAAATATTAATTTGTACTACCCACATATATATACACTTTTTTTAAATCTTCATTTTTGTTAAGGGATCTATATACATTAAGGGGGGCCTTTACAGAACAACCTGCACATAAACAAACTTAAAAATAAAAACGTGCGAGAAACATTCTCGTAAGAAGTTTTAAAAAATGAAATTGAAAACAAATAGAACAAACTGTCTTTTTAGTTAGGGAGAATAAGATAAAATACATCAATGAATGATTAGTGGAATTGAATGAAGAGATTAGTTTAAGAACCAGGTAAGTGACATTTACAGAGTAATCAGGAAAAGAAGGAAAAAATTGATATCCGAATTATTTTATTATAGATTTTGATACAAAGCTAGTAAATTTTTGCCATATTTTATTTACCACTCCCTAATTTTAAATAAAATTCCTACAATCATCCTCAAAACTAATTATGAAATAGTTATGTTAAGAATAAAGTGCAAGCAAAAGAAATCCTGTTAAATTTTTTTTTATTTTATAATCGTCGTCGTCGTTGAACACCAACCGGAATGTTTCACTTTAAAACAAAAAACTGCTATACACTTCCATGATCCGACCCATTCTAGCACATGCTTCTCCTGCTTAGGCCACAATTCCAGACCATCTAATGAAGAAACTGAACCAGTGCCAAAACAAAATACTCCGTAAAATCACCTGTGCTAGAAGGTTCATTAGAAACTCAAACATCCACAAAGATCTCAAAATCCCAACTCTCTCTCAGCATATTTACAAATTTAATGCAGATTTTTATGACAAAGCTATCAACTGCAATATAGCTAATTAATCATTTATTTCCTTGAGCTGAGGTTCATTACGGCACTGAAACTGAGAGAACAATATCCTCTTTCCAAGTTTTGTTTATACAGAAAAGGTTTTGCAACAAACACAGTTTTACGATTTTAGTTTTGATTAAATTTAATTGGTCATCTTGTAGTTTCAAATTAGTTTCGTTAAGTTCGGCAAATGTACTGAAAATACATTCGCTGCAGCTTGTTTTAAGTTAGCCAGTAAATCTCGGTATCTGCCTACCTATCATTGCCGGAGCACCGTCATTAGCTACAGAAATGATATTAGTCAAGGGTATAACTTTTAATTCAGTCAATAGTGTTTCACCTTTAGTATCGCTTTCTAAAAATTAAGCAAATAACAATTCTTGGTAAAATTTTTATTCTTTTATAAATCTTACATAAGCTAAAAGTAAAAGCTTTGTTTCCTAGATAAGTGGACTTGTCAAGCTGCATAGAAAATTCAGATATTTTTAAGTACTCGCATAAAGAATTTTCTCGCACTAAGATATTTTGTCAATCCTTCTTCGTACATTATTATTACTCCGTGGAATTCTTTTTACAATGTCAAAAGCTGGTTTGAGCAACCCGGTGAGTATTATCTCACTTACAGCTAGTAAAATAAATTCTTAAATAATCTGAGGCTTTCCGGACTTTGGAATCATGTAATATATAGAAACATGCGAAATAATGAGAAGCATGCAATCCATCGTCACCTTGCTTAGATGTTGTCCCTATAAGTTGTTGCAGTGACGGTGTTTTCAGATATTTTTCTTTGACTGTTTGAAAACTAGTTAAATCTTTATCTTTTTTGTTACTATGGATTTTTATAAATTGCTCGTTAAGCTTGGAATGTTTCATTGAATCACTTGTTTTAGTTTTATTACATAGAAGACACATAGGTAAAGTACTATTTCCTGGTGAAGAAATAAAGACATACTTCAAATATTCAACGCTGTATTTTCGGCATTTTTCCTTCGACTCATTCATACTGTTATCTCTTAAAGAGGGAACAAAAAATATAAGAAAGCTTGTAAATGAACTGTTTAATTTGTAACAAACCACTGTTAATAATTATAAGCGCCCACCTTTATTTATTGTTCACTTAGGACGTAAAAATCGCTACTATTTTATTTATCTTAATTTCCATAATAATAGAAACCAATCACAATTTTATTATTTTATATTAAACCTCACGCGGACCCCCTGACGTTGTTTAGGGACCCCTAAATAAGTTTTTATTTTTCACGGTCCCCCCCCCGAATGGTACCACGGACCCCAGGGGTCCATATGAACCACTTTGGGAAACACTGATCTAGAACATACACTACCTTTAATTTAAAGGGCAAATACCCTACCACCTTCTTTGATAAAGAAAGCATTACTATAAAAGGAGGCACGTGCTTTCTTGGGCAGAACTTTCCGGTTGATCTAATAGCTTCCTAGATTAGTTAATTACCTTGAAACTTACCTGCCTCGTTTCCTAAAAATGCATCTGCATTAGGACCTACTTCTTCCACTAAGTTCATCAAATATGTTTATAATAAAACTTCTTCTGTCATATATATTAAAATAACTAAAACATCATATACAAAAGCTATTTTTTTTTCTATAATATAGTCCTGCTTTATTTTATTTATTCCTTGCTAAACTTAAATATGGAAATAAAATACCATCTGAATGAATCTTCGGGGTCTGCTTTTTACATGCGAAATAAAAAAAATCGAGATATGATATACCGTTTTCTTTTTCTTTTTTAACTTCTTCAGTTTTTGAAATACGATTTCAGCAGTATCTACTTCAGAGTTTCGCCGATAGAATAAACTTGGTGTAGACTTTTACGACGGAGATCATACATAAATCCCATATTTCCACAACTTATTCCAAGAAGTCACAAACTAATCTCAAAATCCACCAAGAACCAGCACTTCGGGCTTCCACGAAACTCATATTAAACTTGTTCCCTAAAATATCTCTTCTTGCAGATAAAGATCATAATTTCTCGCCAAATCACAATTTTTTGTTATTACATTGATTTTTCTCTGTTTCTAGATATGGCAATATCTCCGATCCAGCCAGGAGGAGCGAAAGTTGTGCCAACGAAGCAAAAAGGAAAAAAGTAATTACATGGGAGTTAGGTTCTGCTCTTGGTGCTTTCGCAGATTAGAGCTGCCCGCCAAACAAGAGTAATGCTGTTGGTCAAGAGTTTGGGACTTGTTGTCGAGGAGATCTCACAGAAGATTTCTCCCTTGTTTATAGGAAACGAGTTTACTCTTCTTCACAAATAGTGCCATTCTTATTTCAGGGAGTCCAATAAAGTAAAAAAAAAATTCTCGAAATGAGACATTTTTGTTGCAACAGCACATTGTGAGACAGGAAATTGTTAATTTGTAGGGTACCGAGATTTATTGGGAGAAATAAAGAAATAGCAAAAAAAAATTAATAATAGTTGGCTAGTTTATGAAACATACTCGTAGTACAATGACATTTATAACGTGTAGACAAAATAACAGTTCGAACTGTGAAACATTTTTAAACTAGGAAACTAAGATTAATTAATAATTAAACAGAATCAAAAGCAATAGATTAATTTAACTAAACATTTATTTATGGTGTTATTCAGCCGTAATTAATGGCTGCAGTGTCCGATCAAAAATTAACCCATTTGGGCCTAGCGGTTTGATTTCTTTTCAGGGGCAGCTATTTTTTTTCAAGAGGTAGTACAAGTGGTTCATTTTTAGGATTAATTTTACAGAAGCAAGGTAGCTCTATCTACCATAATATTACCAGGATGATGCATTAATAATGTAAACATTATAATTGGACCTTAAGGGCGGCACGTTCCTCTTTTAATGAAAGTGGTAGATAACAGAAAGAATTATCCGCTTGGTATTAACAAATATGTACTACNGGATTTGGCTATCATTTTCAACATTTAAAAGTTTTTTCTGAGCTCTAGTTTGTATGGCATTTAACATATGTACTTGTAAATCTTCTTTAACTTTGCACTCTTCAAACAGCATAGCAGTTTTGTTTCCAAGCAGATATCTACCTTGATCTAAGGAATCTCTTAAGACTGCAGCTTTAGTGATTATGTGTCACATCTCACACTCCAACTCAACTTCTACAAGAGGCAAACATGTCAAAGTTTCTTCCAAAGGTGTTCTTAACCAAACCTTTTCATTTGTATACATATGTGGTTTCACATACTTGTTGCAAATTAGATCTAGAGTTGCACCAGTATCTCTCAAAATTTTCATCTCAACTCCATTTACTTTATCTACACTAATGTAACGTGACATCAGTTCATCAATACTTTTGTCAGCTACAACATGCGAAATAGATTCTTGAGTTTTCTTTAACTTATCACATTGAGGTCTAAGATGATTGCTAGAGCCACATTCATAGCAACGAAGGGGTTTTCCCTTTTCAAATTCTCTATCTCTTAGTTTTTCTTGAGATATTTCCGATTTTGTCAACAATTTCGGCTTGAATTCTTTTTTATTCTCATTAAACTTAGAGTTCCAATTTTGGTTTCTAATATTAGAAAAATTCCTTTTGGGAAAATCTTTCTTTTTAAAACTCTCTCTAATACTTTCAAAGTTGTCCAACTTTTCAGCTAATTCAAATGGAGTGATAAATTTCAGCCAATCTTCTAAGTAATGTTCTCTTATCTCCACAGGTACTCGAAACTTCAATTGCTCCGTTATTATCAGATCTTTAAGCTGCTGCAGGTTCTCAATTTTCAATTCAGTAATCCACTGGGTAAAATAACTAGACAGTTCTTGTGAATAATTTCTCCAAGATTTGTCCTGGGATTTTTGATGTCTATAAAAACATTGCTTCAATTTTTCACTATTCAGTTTATAACTTTTCAAGATAAGATCTTTTACAAAGTCATAGTTAATAGCATCGTCAGGTTTTTCTCTTGCCAGCCTGTTAGATAATTCCCCAGGTAAAACCGCTAACATATAAGCAACCCAATCCTTCTTTGGTACCTGAGCCATCTCTGCTCTTCTCTCAAAATTTATAAGGTAGAGTCCCATTTCATCGTGCTTTTCATCAAATTTGGGCGTAATCTGAGTAAGAGGAATTCGATGAGAATATTCAACTTTATTTTCTGAATCACTATTTTGAACAGGATCCTTATTCACCAGTTCTAATTTTTTTACTTCCAGTTCATGTAATTGGGCTTCACTCGCCAATCTATCTTCTCTCTCTTCTTGTCTAATTCTTTCTTGTCTATCTATCTCATCTTGTTGAGTTTTCTCTTCTTGTTTTCTGTCCTCAATAATTCTATCTAGAATAATCTTTACTTCATCTTCCTTATAAGCCGGGCTGTTCAAAATTAAATTCTTAATTTCCACTACTTTACTAGAAGAGTCAGCATCCACGCCAATTTCTTCACACACTTCTAATAAGTCAATTTTTTTAGCTTTTGCTAAGTAAGCCATGACTTAAGGATTAACAAAATCCGAATGCTTTCAATTTATTTTCTTTTTCTTTCTTTATATTTCAAATTTAAGATTAAAGAAAATTGTGTTATTTATTATTTAAAAAATAACAGTAAGAAAACTAAAACACCATTCACAACCGAAAAAAAAAACTTTAAAGCACATTACGAATAACAATTCTAAGATCTATTATTTGGAAAATATAACATCTATTATGCAATAGTAACCAACTAAACGCTTTTACACTAATTTTCAATATACCATAAACAACGCAAAATAGTTTCAAAAACACTTTTTACATATTCAACAAATAGCATAAAATTTCACCCTACTTTCGAATTAAAATCGAAACGAATCAGTGAATAAACTCTATAATTACATATATAAAGCTTCAATCAATAATAAATTCTCATGTTCANTCTTCTCTTAAGTTTTCAAAAGTAAAAATTTCGTTGAATCCTGCGGTGCCACAATTTATGGTTTTTTCAAAAAAACTGAAATTTAGCTTTGCAATATGATGATCTAAAGAATCTATATTGAGGTCGCGATGTATGTTTTTTATTTCTGATAAACCATCTTGCTTTTGTTATTTTCCTGAGGATTTTGTTCTGGAATGTTTTGAGTTTTTTAAGGAGTGATGTGGAGATGTTGCACCAAGCTGGAGATGTATAAGTCAGGATGGGACGGATCATTGAGATGTAGAGTAAACGTTTAAGTCTAAGTTCCATTTTGGGGTTCTGAAGAAGGATTTGTAATCTGTGGCAGGCTGCTTGTGCTTTGTTGATAGCTGTTTTGATGTGATCGTTCCAATTAAATTTACTGTTAATGACCAGACCAAAGTATTTTGCGCTTTTGACTATGGGAATAATTTCATTAAAGAGAACAATTTGATTTTTGGGGAGATCAAAAAGTACTTCTCATACTCATATGTGTTGGTTATTTTAGCGTCAGCCCCGCTAGGGGCTCTAACTAATTCATCTGAGTGGGAATAAATAATAAATCGCCGAAGCGCAACTGAAAGCAAAAAGTACTTGCTCCTTATAATTCTAGATCTAATCAGAAATAACTTAATTATTGTGGTATCTGAGAATCTTTTAATTCACCCAGATAAATGAAAATGCTGAAAAAAGTTCCCCACCACAATGAATGTCTTTGAAAAAAGGAACTGTCCTAAATATATGACGCTGGGCGTTAACCGGTTAAGGTTAATGCTAAAAGATATTTTTTTTATATACCACTTTGTCCCTAAGTGGTTTTTGAAGCTCGAATTTTCATGCATATATATTTTCTTTGGAAAACAATTTTTAGTGGTGGTTACACAGAAATTAAACTGTCAACATTTGATTAAGTTTCGTTACCATTTTTTATAATTTACACAACCCACGGGAACACTGTGCCAACATTTTAAAAGCTTCATCAAGAAAAGCTAGTTCCAAGTGGCGTTGCATATGTACATTTAAATTATTTATCTATAGTGAAGTGGAAAATAAGTTTAAAAGAATAAAATATAACCCATTTAAACATAAACATAGCTACCCACTAGTATGAATTTTTACAAAAAGTTGGCAGCCATGTAAATGATTTAAAAGTTCATGTATACAGCTACTTTGTTCCAGCTCTCTAATGGTTTGGCAACAAAAATTTTTAAAGCTTTAGTTTTTAACTTTTTATCACTCTATAAAATATTTTGCAAAAAGTGTAATAGTTGACTGACTTGCACGAATTAGAGATGGATGTCACTTTGATTGCTCCATGCCACATAGCGGACGGGACGCGATTTTTCAATCCAGCGGCTTTTAACGACCTGCTCTACTGTTTAGCATTTTCTTAATTAAGAGAATATTAATTCTTTAAATTTCTTTATGTTTCGGGTAAAAAAAATTTAAGAGAAGTAAAAGCTTACATTATTATTATGACCAACTACAGCCAAGAGGAAGATCTCCACAGAAAAAAGACGTGTCGTTGAAAGCCACTTCACTGTAAATTAACCAACAGGACCACTCCGCCAGAGACTCCCCTTCCTGATTTTTCGGAATTTTTTAATTTTATATTTAATGTATCGGAAAAAAAATATTGTTCAACTTTATTTCTGTTTTAACAAATTTGATTTAATGCACTTTCGCATAACATCTAACTAACTTTAGTCTAGCATCTAACTAAACTTTAAATAGTTTAAGCATGCATAAAGAAGATCTGGTTTTTTTTTACAGTGCTTAAAGTGATGTAGAAAAATAAATTAAATATTCGCGAATAATATCACCGTTGTTATTTAATTAGCACAGGAAAAAGCTTTTGTAAAAGGCTTTGTAAATAATATTTGACTATTAAAAACCAACATATTTTTTATACATGAGAGCTCGAAAACAATATTTGTTCGAAACTAAACTGGTTGCTATCAGACTGAAAATTTTTGCTCTTCCAGTATTGTGCAAATTAATTAGGACAAAGTAAAAAAATTCCAATACGTTAGTTTTTAGACTGTTTAATCTTTTGTTCAATATTCTCAAGTATAAAAATTATTGGTCCCACAGTAACGCGATTCCCAGTAGAACACCGAAGTCATGCATCATTGGTTTCTGTCCGCGTGCGGGTGGGTGACCACTTTGATCAGACTACGAAAGAAACGAGGGTGGGTGATATTAGTCCTTGCTAAACTGTTCTACTGTAAAATGTTCGACATCACGCACTGGTCGTTGGGCTACTAAAGGGGGGGAACCACCCCCTAAGAAGAGGTTCAAAATCGTGATGGCAGGTCTTTGGATCATCGTCAGGGATGTTTCCCAAGCCGTCGCTAATATCCCATTGTAGAGCCGCGATGGCTCAGGGGATAGAGCGTTCGCCTTCCAATGCGGCGAACTGGGTTCGAATCCCAGGTGATACGAATTCCGCATCCGGCTTGCACCTACCACAGTACTGACGTGAAATATTCTCAGTGGTAGACAGATCACGGGTTAGAGTCCCCTTGACGTTAGGCTAACCGTGGGAGGTTCTCGTGGTCTTCCTCTCCATGTAACGCAAATGCGGGTTAGCTCCATCAAAAAGTCCTCCACGAAGGCAAATTTCCAATAATCTCCCAATACTCGATCGAGGAGTTCCCTTGTCTTCTGGATTAGATTCAAAATTACAAGGCTACGGAGTTGAACAGTAGTAGTCGTAAACTCATAAAATTGGGTCGGCTGCTCAACGACGGTCATAAAATAAAATAAAATAGCCCATTGTACAACTCTAGTGTGACGTAAATAGACAACTATAGCTAAAGAATATTAGTAAGACGTAATTAATAATATAATTACGACGTAAATAATAGAAATGCCAAATAATTGGGTAATTTTCTCTCTCGTTTTAAATATTAACTACCTCTAGCTTTTTTTTCACTCTTAAAGGTTAGAATTCCATCAAGTAGCTATTCCTAATTTATTAGTGTACTACTATTTTTCAAAATATGCGAATTAAAAAAAGAGAAGGAAATGCCCATCACCGCCTGATAAAAAGCTTGTTTCAAAAATTTTTTAAAAAAAAAGTTCGAAAATAAAGAAATTAAAGCCTTTAGTTACACCTACTACCAATTTATATTATTGAAAGTAACGGTTTCGTATACCTACACCCTTTCCCTTCCCTCTCTTTCGTTCTCTCGCGCTCTCTCTGGAGAGCCCCAATTCTCATCTTTGTGCCAGGTTTCTCCGCCGACACTGCAAGGGTGGCGGGAAAATAATGAAAAAGTGATAATAACTAGAATAACGAAGGGGGAATGATGTTAAAAAAAAAAGAAGAAAGAAAGTAATGTAAAAAAAAGAGCTCAAAATCAGGTAGGCTCTCCACCTTTGCTCTTGCGCCTCCGGGTGGGATTGTAAGAGGATGACTCGACGTGGAGTGTCTCCCTGTTAATGAAGGCCGGACTGATAAGAATCGAAATGAAAAGCGTACCTCCCCTTCGATGTTCTAATTAACTCCGTCACCTCCTTCAAAGTATAGAGGGAAGCTTTTGAGAAGATGGCTGGAATGATTTAACTGTACCCGCCAACATTTTTACCCTTAAGGGTTCCTTGTATTGGTGTACTTCCTGCAAATAATATCGGTGGTTTCTTCTCGCATCTTTTTGCTGTGTTTTTTTAATAAAAAGATCTTTCTTTGCTAGTACGGTCAGTTTAAATTTAAAAAAAAAAATAGATGTGAAGACTTTCTGAAACGTTCAATTTTTCAATAAACGAAAATGTGTCCTAAAAGTAAAAAGGTCGTTTCTGGGATATAATTTAGCCATTAACCCCTTGGGGACGGGTGATTCATAAAAGCATTCGTACAAAATCAGAATCAAGATGTAAATAAATAAAAAACGGTAGCTTAAATGTAGGAGTTGCTAATTTGACAGACATACTTTGCTTTCACTGTAATTATTGTTAGTTTAATCATATGCATAAAAAATGTTAGTTGAATGTAAAACTAAATAATTTTACTTTGAACTAAAGTAATGGTGAATTAAATAAATCAAACAGTTATAACCCCGCCCACAAATAAACTGCTAAACAACTACTTTGATAACCAGTTTTATTTTTTTTAATCTGATTGATACGGTTTTATGCTGGCATGTATTTGTGACAGTCGGCGCGAAAGGGTTAATGACCAAATTAGACCTTATTACTAGTATGCAATCCTTGTATGTTTTAACCAATTAAACGCGTTTGACGGGTATATACGTCGGAGCAAATCTCTGTAGCGATACGTATAACGTGTTTACACGTCGGACCAAATCCCTGCAGCGATGTGTATAACGTGCTTACACGTCGGATAAACGGCAAACGAAATCTCTGTAGCGAAGCGTATAACGTGTTTATACGTCGGATACATGGCAGATCAAATCTCTACAGCGATGTGTATAATGTGTATGCACGAAGGATCAAATCTCTATTAGCCATCCGTATGACTTGTATACTCGTCATGCAAAATAAAAAAATACCATTGACTATCAAAACTCGAAATTTCTGTACGAATAATATACAATTAGAATATTATTTGAAGGTATGTTTCCTTTATATTACCAATAGAACTGTCAAGTATTTGGTATAACGGGGAGCAGGGACTCACGGCCCGAAACCAATTAAGTACATCAATAAACTGCAACTTGGACAGCGAAAGTTGATTTGCGTGATTAAATGTTTGTGTTTGGCCTTTAGTTGGCCGTTTAGCCTTTATTTATTTAAACACGTAGCACAAATTGAACTGAAATGGAGGGAGAAAAAAATTAATAACTAGACCTGGTATATATATTTCGGACATTTACCACAGCGACTATGTGATTGTCAACAACCACAAATTTCGATCATTCACAGTAACATGCATACATAATGATATGTATATATGATGATATGTATTTATAATGATATGTATACAGAATGATAATGTATGTAAACTCTGGA